TCCTGAGCTCCAGTGATACAGCTTTATTAGCTAATGTTATTGAAGATGTGAGTTGCAAAATTGTATTCAAGTGATGACTTATATTACTATTAATCAAAATTAAACAATAAAATTCAAGAGAAAATTTTATAGAAGGAAAGATACCCTTCTGTTCCCCAGTCCATGTCTAGAGTCATTTTAAGCATCATTGACTTAAAAAGCTTTAGGGTCCAGAAATGAAACAGAGCTTTGTCTTATATCTGTGTAAACCCTGTGCTTCTTTAAAATAATTATATCTTTCTAGACTTAATATAAATACCACTTAGCATTTCAGTCTAATCTATTTCAATCTCTCTCATCAATGCATTAGGCAAGGCCCTTGCCGATTCCCTGCCTGCTTACTGGAGAACTTTACTAGTCAGGATTCTGATCTCAGCGTGGCTCTTTCTGTTTTCTTCTCACTGATGAGAAATAATTTTTTCCACACTCTTCTTCCTGTAGATTAAGTTTCTCAGCTTATATTTCAAGGTTTTCACTATGGTGACTAGGACTTGACTCATTCTTTTTGCCTTTCCTAAAGCTCAGTCTGCCTAGATGTAATATTGTATGTGATACTAAGAAATATAATATTTAGTCTTGACTCCTGGCACACAGCTCCTAAAACTCTTGGGATTTCCTAAATAAGGAGAGGGAAAAGGGGATCTTTTGCTATGTTAATGAGGTGACTTTGGAAAGCCCTAGATCACCTAAGGATGGTTCTTGGTTGCCAAGAGATCTGACTCTGTGATTAAAGTGTGAGACCTTTAGTCCCACCTTTGGACCTCCTGGGTGGGGAGTGGGACTTGAGAGTGAGTTCAACCACCAATGACCAAGAATGTAATCAACGGTGCTTATGTAATGAAGCTTCCATAAAAACTTGAAAGGACTGGGTTCCAAGAGCTTTTGGGTTGGTAAACAGGTGGATATTTGGGGGAGAGAGGCCCGCTCAGAGAGCAAGGAAGCTCTGCTCTCCTTCCCACACAACTTGCCCTAGGCATCCCTTCTATCCGGTTAAGACCATAACCAGGCTGATACTGTCAGAATTAGGTTGAATTGTAAAACATTTAGCTAGGGTCCAAGAATTTCTTGGTGGTATGTGAAAAAAAACCCACACGATGGAATTGGTACCAGAACATATTAGTCCAATCATTGAAGACACAGTGGAAACACTTTTCATCTCTGTTTTTCACTCTTCCCGTTAAGTTTGTTTCAGGGTCGCTGTTCTATAAAGAACTCTTTCACATTACGTATCCTTCATACTTACGTACTTAGGGAGTAGTCTATGTATTTGCAAAGTATTGGCCAGAAATGTGTACTCATTGTTTGGGAGGTGGGGGTGAGGACAAAGTGAGTCAGATTTGTTGTATGCTCTTGAATTGCATACATTTTTTGTTAAGCTAGGAAGGCACACAAAACACTGTAACAAAGGTGGTAAGTAACAATCAGCCCCAGCCTCCAAAACTATCTTTGGGAAATTTCATCTCCAGTGGGAAATTGTTTATATTGATCAAAGAAAAAAATCACTTCAATTTTTTAAATGCTCACATGCCCCACCTAGCTGTATTGTGACATACTGATGGGTTAGTACAGATGGGGCAAAGGTTCCTGACCTGAGCCTCTGGGATCCTGAGAACTGATCTCAACAGATTCTAAACTGAAAAATTGTCTACTGTGCTGTTACTGCTTTCAGCTTACTGTCCTGACTGATGATGGATTCTTTTATACTGGAGATGCAAAATGCTTCTCATGTTTCAGGTAACAAGAAATATGTTTTTCTCAGCTGAACATTATTCATTTTATTTCCTGCAATAAGAAGTCCCCATTATGATGCTCTGATGCATGACTAAACTGGTAAATATCATTGGAATACTGTTTTCTAGGTTGTAACAAAAGCAACTGTGATCCAGATGCTCCAGAAAAGGTCTTCCTGTTAAGAACTAGGTAAAGTGGTTCCATCTCTCCATTCTGTAGATTGCGAAGGACAAATACTCTACTACATTGTTTGGTGGAACTTACATTTCAAGCTTATTTTCAATTCTGAGCTCTTACTTATGCTAAATTACTAGAAATAGTATTGTCATCTCATATGCACTGTACCTTGCTCATGCAGGTAGGGTGCACTGCTTTATTAATTTCTTCAAGGAAAATGTATTTGAGGGTAGGAGGCTTTATTAAAGCTTTGGGACTATAAAGGAGTTTATATTTGATCAACACCACCACCCCACAAGCAAAAAAAGTCAAATTTATTATTACACATTTCTGATAAACGAAGTGGATAGTGATAAGCAAGTAAATTAGAAATGAAGCTCTAACATCAAAATGCCTTGAGTAGAATTGTGGCATTACCATTACTATGAATCATGGATGATTGTGTGACCTTGGGAAAGTTACTTCATGTCTCTGGGCTTCAGTTTCTTCATGAGTAAAATGAAGACAATATTAGCACCTCCTTCATAGGGTTTTTTGAGGGGGGATTACTCTACTAATTCATATAAATTGTTTAGAATAGACTAACAAAAAGTAAGTGTTCAATAACTGTTATTAATGTTATTTATAATATATTTAAAGGTCTTCCACCATTAGAATTGTGTGGCTTAGCCATTGCCCTTTTTTTTTTTTTTTGGTGCCTTCTTTTCTCAGCATCGCTGTCTTCACTCCCCTACCAAATTCTTACTTTTATTATTTTGTAATTTCTCATTTTGCTTTTCTTACGTGATTTAATATAGAGTGGTTTCATCATCACTTTTGAGACCTTAGCTATAGGTGACTAATGACTTTTGGAGTTACTGCTCCAAGTGGCATGTTAAGGTATTTTCCTAGGATAGGACAAATTCCTCTCTAAAAGGAATGCCAGAGCAACTGAGCACTACATACAATCATACTTGTCCCAAATGTACGTATGTATGGCACGCTCAGTTTATAGAACGTATTCTGATCCAACTTAGCTGCACACCTTTGAAGGTGGCCCTCTGACGTGTCATCACACTGTCATGAGGAGACTGACTTGCTCAAGGTCACTCGATTGTGCAGAAGAGGAGTTTTAACTAGACTCTTATTGCTCCCTAAAGCCCAAGCTCCTTCTACTGTGCCTAGCCAACTATTTGTGTGATTTCCTTTAATCATGAGAGCAATCTCACAAGCCTGGCACTATTGTTGGCACTCTTTACAAGTAAGGAAACTGAGGCTTAGAGAGATTGAGTTCATCAAGATCATGCAGCTGATAAATGACAAAACCCAAATCAAACACTCTGCCTTTTGCAGATCCACTTTTTAACAATTATGCTATATTAACTCTCATCCCAAAATAAAGGGGATCAGAGAGAGAGAGTTGAGGGGGAGAGGGGTCCAGGCTAAATATGTAGTTAAGATGATTTGTCCATGTAAAGCTACTTAGAACTGCTGTTAAAAGGGAAACAGTTCCCTAAAGTATTTCTCCAGGATCCCATCGGAATGCTAGCAATGCTGTCAAACTTAACTCATACTGAGTTAATAAATACTGAATAAAAGAAATACGGAATTAAAAGGTGTTTGCCTCATAGCATTTGCCTTCTTGTAGGTCCATTGGTGAAAATGAAATGTTCATGTTAAAACCAAGAGGGAGAAACTACTTATTTAGAGAGAAAAAATATAAGAACTCTAGAATACTGTGAGTGTAATGTAAGGAGAACCAGAAACACAAGACTGGCAGCCTTTATCATAAAAATCACAGCGGAAGACGGAGCTTAGAGATTTCAGCATGAAAAGAAAAAGAATTCAAAGACTTGTGTGTGCACACGCGGCCGTGCTCCCTCTTGTTTTATTATTTCTCGAGCCACCAACTCCCCTCATCCCCATCTAGCTGGTGACTCAAGCCTTCTGATGAAAGCGCAGTATGTGAGATTGCTAGTTGACATTCTCTTCCGGAGACTAGCCTCACACAGGGGTGACCCTGTGATGCACAGAAGGCTATTCAATGCCTTGGCGAAGTGGTTCTGGGACCAAGATTTTATTATGCTTCGTGGCTGAGAGTTGTGATCCCACATCCCGGATTTAGAGCCACTAAGGGCTTCGACAGCTCCACCCAGGTATTCTAGAGGAAAATATTCCTTCATGCTCTCTGTCTGATCTGAAAGCAACACAGCTTCCTAATGTTCCGCCTGGGAGGTGGTTTAATCTTTAGAAATTGCCGGAGAAGCCTGTCCATCTGCCGGCATGCCTGGCTTTTCTGAAACGGAAGAGAAGCTTGGCTGTTAGAGTAACTTGAAGATTTTTGTTTGTAACTTAAAGCCGCCGCTTAATTCAAAATAAAAAAGACACACGCTCTGGCTTTTGCAGACATTAGGAAAATCTGTGTGACGAAGTATGGATCTAGAAATTCCTGATTTAATTTCCCCCGGGGAAGAGTAAACATTTTCTATTTGCAACTGGGCAGTCGCCCCAAGTGATCTGCCTGCAAAAGGTGTGCGCGAGAAGGGCCCGTTTGGGGGGCGGGGGGCGGGTAGAAGAGGGACTTAGCCTAAAGAGTTGCTCCCTCCACCCCGCCAATCAGTAGCCGTTCATTTTAACTTCTCGGAGGCAAGTTCCCACCCTAGCTACCTCCTCCAGCCCCTCCCTCCATCTTCTGCTCCCCTCCCCCCAACTTGGACCCAAAGCGAGAGTCCCTGGCGAGGTCCGTACCCCCACCTCCCTGCCCTACTATTCCTTTTACAGAAGAAGCAGGCTGCGATACCACGGCCGAAAAGTCCCTGAGGAGTGAGCCAGTGAACAGGCGTCTGGGGGCAAACAGGGCGCAATCTGAACCGCGGCGAAGCTGCGTGGGCAGTGTGAAGTGAGAGAGGTCTGAACGCAGCTCTGGTAACGACACTGCAAGTGGCGGTCTCGGAGGCCCTGCCGAGAGCCGGCTGCTTCTGGGTCCGCTTCCTATTGGCGGGCGTGGCCCCGGGGCGGAGCCACTCAAATGCCCCGCCCACTTGGGGGCCCCAGGACGCGGCGCGCGCGACTTCCCAGAGGAGTTCCAGATCCCGCCTCAGCCTGGGACTTGGTCCTGCAGCGCCTCTAGGCTGCGGATCCCGCTCCTGCCACCTGCGCTTGGCTGTACCTCCTGCGAAGCGGGGAGCTGCGAGGAGAGAGGGAGGGCGAAGGGAGGAGGAGAGCGGCAGCTTACACACGCCTTCCAGTCCCTCCACTCAGAGCAGCCCAGACTGCCGCTGGCGCCGCTGCTTTCGCTGCCGCCGCTGCCGCCGCCGCCGCCACCACCTGAGGAGACTGCCTGGACCTGTCGCCCCTCGGTTGCCAGCCCCGGCAATTCTTTCCTAGCACCGGGCTTTTTATGCACACTGCCACTACCATTATTATTATTCCAAGAGAAGGAAAACAACAGACCCGCTAAAAAGAACCACGTATACCTTTCCGAATTACTCAGGTGTCTCCCGGAAAGAGAGGGTCGCCGGCCCCGGAGGAGCAGCCAAAGGGGCCGAGGGCGCGTGTGGAAGGGGAGGCGGGAGGAGTTGGGCCACTGCGCGGTGGAAAGTTGCGGGCGGCGGAGACGGGAAGGTGCGGCGCCACAGCCCAGAGGGCGGCGTGTCAGGGAGAAGCCTCTGCCCCCAGCGTCCGGAGCGCGAGCGCGCGGGGCCGGGGACGACGCCCCCTCCTGCGGCGCGGACTCTGTCGGTGGTCCCCGAGGAGGAGGAATATGGCTTCGAAGGCGGCCCCCTCCTGCCGTCTGGTCTTCTGCCTCTTGATCTCCGCTGCTGTCCTTAGGCCAGGTAAGAACAGGGGCCTCGGAGCAGCCCCAGGGCGGCCTGGACCGGGGGGCAGCTTCCTAGGTCCCGGGCCCGGGCCTCGGGCCCCCCACCCCGGTGGCGGCGCGCCCAGGCGGATGGGGGAGGTAAGGGACCGGCGGTGCGGGCAAGAGCTGGCCCTGGGTTCCCTCACCTGTGCCGCATGTTTGAGTTCGATCGCTTGGCTCAAGTTGGGGCAGCGACTGGGGGCACTGGATAAATCTCCAGGAAGTTTGGGTGCGGCCGGGGTCGGGGCTTCAGGGGGCCCGCAGGCAAGATTCGTCTGGTTCTCTCCCCTTCCCCCATGCGGCTCCCGCCTGGGTGGCGAGCTCTCGCCCTCTGACAACCCCTCGGGTATCAAAGTCCACGTCACTGCGCTCTGGGCAGTTTTCCTTTCGCCTAGCTCTCAGAGGCAATAACTCGCGCTTTTTCGTGATAAATCCCCTGGTAACTTCCCCTGGGTGAGAGGTGAAGAAAGGAAGGGAGGGCTTTCCTCTTTGGAACCGCTGAAAAGCTCCAGCCGCGGCTTGGAAGCCCCTTCGTCCATTGTCTGGGTGGGTTGTGAGGGTGGGGGTGACGGCGGGCAAAGGACGCAGCCTGGACTGGAGTCCGCAGCCAGGTCTGTGCGCCCTTAGTGAGGGGGCTGAGGACTGGTCAGGACCCGTGATCCGACCTCAGTTTTCAGTTCTGTACTGAGACTCATAAGGGGGAAAAAAAACACCAACCAACAACTAATATATCTCGCCTGGGAATCCCTTTCCTCACCCTTGGGGACGTCCCCTGGCGCTGTCATCCTCGAGACCCGCTGGGTGGCTGACAGGAGTTGATCCTCCCAGGGCGTTCCGCGTGCTCGCAGTCGCTTGACAGAGCAGCAGGTTAATTTTTCCCTTGACTTGAGGATTTGGGGGGACATTCTTTTCTCCCTTTGAAGTTTTGATCTGTAGCCCCTCCTAGACAGTTAAAGATAAAACTACTTCCTGTTATTCTGGCTTCTGTTTGTCCTCTTGCTCCTTGCTTTAGTTTTTATCAAAGGAAAACTCACTTGCTTTTTGCATCTTTTATTTCTGCACATACCTTGAGTTGTTAGCAGGCTCAGGTCAAAGCAGAGGTTTGAAAGCCTCTGGATCTCTCCCAGGAAGGGGGAAGAGTGAGGCTGGGGGTTAGAGCCTGAAGATCCCTGGTGTTGGTGAACTGCCGCCGCTGTATGTGTTGGTGGTGGTGGTACGCGGGAAGTGGGTGCCCTCCCCAGATCGGGTCTCTTTTAAAGTTACATTTCTAGTTGAAGCAATGAGCTCACCTGCTGTTCTGAGGAAGAGAAAGAGGGGTCTGTGACAGATCGCCGGTTCTGGGGCTGCGAGTGTGAAGCCAGAGTTGAACCGGATTGAAAGCTGGTGGGGTGGGGCGAGAACACCCGAGAGGGAGGATGGGGAGACCCCCTTGGGTCAGGCACTGTACAGATCTCACTTTTTCCAGATTCCAGTGTCCGGTGTGGGAAGGAAGGGCACTCACTCGGGAGCCGAGGGGAGAGGAGGGAGTGTGAGGCTGCTGTAGTTTGTAAAATGCAAAGATCCACACGCCTACAGTTGGTTTTAACCCCCTCGCCACCTTGAGAATGTAGTCTCACCTACACCCCCCACCCCCGGACCACATGCACACGCCCAGTTTCCTTTTCAGTGCTGGAATTTCAGTTGGGCCACCTCGGAGGACAGGTTTTTCCGCACTTGTAACTGCTATAAAGGGAGAGGTTCCTCTTTCGGATCTTGGGGCGACTCTTTTGGCGCAGCAAGCTCGCGTTTCTCTCCGGCACCCAACTGCGCGCTTCCAGCCAGCCCGGGAGGGCTCCGTTACCGCTGCCTACCCGCCACTGATCTGCGGGTCAGAAGGCTCGGATGCTCAGATCGGTGCTTTCCTTGAATTTACCCGGCTGACATATGCTCCAGATTCTCCGTACGGCATGTGTGTTTTGAAAGAAAGGATTATGACACTGAAACCGCCATGTCCAGACTCTGGACGCAAGTCTAGGACGGCAAGTGCGCCTCCTTCGGATCCCTCAGCACAGCCGAGCCCAGTGGGGATGCAGTGCCAGTAGCTGGCTTAGGCGAAGGGACTCACTGCCTGCCCCGCGTGCAGCTCTTCATTTCCGGAGCCGTTTTGACAGTGTGTTTAGAAACCTAGAGTTTGTGAAACTGCCTCTGCAGGTCTTCCCGCCTATAGTCACTATACAACAGTGAAATCAATATATTGTAGGCATGGTATGCAGTCTGTTTTGAAGGGAGGAGGAGGATTATCTATGAACCACGGAAAATGAATTCGGCGATAACGGCGATGAAGTATGTGTTCAGCATCTGAGGGAGCAAGAATCTCATTATTCTCGTAGAAAGAGCGTCAGCCTGTGGTGACATTTTGTATTGCTTTTAAAAAGGCTTTCCTTGGTTATTTACAGGAAGGTGGGGTGCTGTAATTAACTATCTCTTCTCTTGGGTCGTCTGTGTGCACTCCTCTCTGCAGTGTTTCTGAATTGCTCACTGATACAAGGTTCATTCCAAAACATAAGCAACCTTGAAGATAATTTCAAAACTGCAAACTGCTTAGAAGCCAGTAATATTTCTGTTTCCTTGATGATTTATTTAATCCAATAGCAATTTATAATCTAATGGGGCACTATTTAAAGTAAACTGCTTTTCTAGGTTTGTTTCAGGACTATTTACCTTCAGGCACTTGAGCAAGTCATTTCACCATCCTTGGGCTTCAGTATTCACATATATGAGGAAAAGGGTGGACTGAGACTCTGCTGAGAGCTCTGCCAGCTCAAAATTCTGTTTCTAATGACCTAAGGTAAAAAGCTCATTTAGGCAAGGCAGAGTCATTTTCCAATTGTATTTTTCTAATGCTTTCAGACAGTCTGGACAGACACAATTCCTATAAATTCTATTACCAGAAAAATGTGAGTGGCTCCCATTTGCTACTTTCCCATCTTTTTTCCTTCTTTTTAAACTCATATCTTGTGCTTACTCCTCTGGGCCTGAATCAAACTGTTAAAAATTGTATAATAGAATTAGTCTCCCATTCTCCTGGTAAAAGGGATCCCAACAGTCAGAAAAGGCTTTGGATTGTAAAAGAAAAAAAACCCACCAAAAAAACAGAAAAATCCTTTACTGCAGCCCATCCCTTCTGGAAGACTGGCTGTATTTAAACTTCATATAGTTCCTAGAATAAAAGGTAAGTCATGGTTTATGCTAATATGTTCACAGTCTTATATGCACACATTAAAAATGCTCCTAAACAAACTTGATTTGCTTCATAGTTGTATGTACAATACAGAAGGAAACAGAATATAACAATGCTTTTGTGTCATTTTTGAAATCTGTAGAAATCCAAAATATTTTATGACTAGATTCTAAACTTTTTCTGACTTTTTAGAAAATCTAAACTAGCTTGTCTTTAAAAATAGAAATTTAGAAGAAATGCTTCTCTATTGTTCACTTATTAAAAAGAAAAAAAATCAACAAAAACCTACTTGAAGACTCCTAAAAGTTAACAAAAAATTCTTTATGTTGGTATTAGTACTCATGTGTTCAGTTTGTAGCTATGCTGCATAAGAATTTTGAAACCATGAGGAAGTAATTTTTCTACTCCTTTTTATTTCCCATCTGTAAAATTATCTCCCTGTGTAGTGCATCATTCTGATTTTGGTGAGATCAGTAACTCCCTTGCTCAGCATTTTGAATTTTTCAAGTAAAACATGCTATATTAAGACTTTTATTATATCCTTAATAGAGTAACACTTTTAAATTTATTCCACTTAATTATCACTCTGATCTTTTTATTAAAAGCAGGCAAAAATGTTTTCTTTTTTTCCCCTTTTTTCACTCAGGTTTTCATTACACTAAATGTAGGCCTTTGTAAAACCAGCACTAAGTTGTCAGCATTACTTAGTGTAAGATGGCAGTTTTTTGTCATATAATATTTTAAATGCTTTATAATTACCTTGTTTTATATTCCCAAACACACCTCTTTTTGTTTGAGTCATCTGTTTCACATAAAACGTCATCAAAGAGTTCTAGCTCTCTGGAACAATTCACTCAAGTAGACACATGCAATGTGTATCCCAAATATACAGGAGAGCAACATAGGTGCAGCTATGATAAAAGAGTAACTCTGTGCCTGTGTGTATACACAGAAACTTTAATTTCCCTCAAAGTGTTAGTTTTATTCTTAACTGTTAGATTTTCACAAAGGCCCATTTTATTTCTCACACATAATTTTATGTAGCATATTAAGAATTGAGCTAACTTATTGGAATACTAAAGAAAATTTTCTTGGGAGTCGTAAGTGATGAATTAATGTTTATTTGATTATTACTTTTGGATATCAGCTCCTTTTGATTTTCAATACAGATTGAAAAAGATGGGAAAAATGTCCATTTATATTTCTCATTACTTTTTTATTAGGGCAGAAGTTTCCTTTTCCTGTGGAGAACACAGCCAAGACTAAAATATATCTAAAAAAAGGGTATTATCGGCTTTTGATAAGGGTAAATCCTACAGTTATTACAAGTATCCCTATAGTGTACAAAATATCATATATTTGTAGTTACTGATATTTTCATCCAGCTAATTTCTCTGTTTAAATAACAAAATTTATGTTCTCTCCCCCAAACATATTAGACAGAATACCATATATATTTCAGCTAGGACTAGTTCCAAATGTGCTGTAGTATTCAGTAATTGTTTTATGGTAACCTATTATCAGATCCCATTATTGTAGTGTATGTTCCAAGAATGAAATTAGCTTTTAGTGCTTCCTCTTTTATTTATCCATTCAGTTCTCAATTATCCATTCTATTCAAGGGGCAATCAGAGTTGTGCAAATCCAAAAATTTCTAATCACAGGATTACGTGATTCAACTTTGAGTTGAGGTACTGCAATGAACATGACTATGTCTGACCTTCTAAGAATTCATGAAAGTGAAAATGAAAGTGAAGTCGCTCAGTCATGTCTGACTCTTTGCAACCCCGTGGACTGTAGCCTACCAGGCTCCTCCGTCCCTGGGATTCTCCAGGCAAGAGGACTGGAGTGGGGTGCCATTGCCTTCTCCATAAGAATTCATAGTATTGCAATATAATGAAATGAAATTGTGGGAGAAAAGTCTAATCAGAAATTAGACAGCTGTCCAGTTTCTCTGGCTTGCTTCCCTGTCTTTTTCCTCCCTAAAACTCTCCTCTCTGTCACCCATACATTGTGGTAGATCCAAGACACTCCTGGTGTATGCCTGGTTTATTCAATTATTAATGGCACCCTTTCACTCTCAGAAGTGCAGTTTGGATGGCAAATTTTATGGTCACAATAATTATTAATGACTTGACTGTCTATGTGTCTTTCTAGAATACTTAAGATAGAATACTACAGTTAAGGCTTTCCTTATCCTGACACACTGCTTATTTCTAACCTTTTTAAGCATCAGCTACAGTGAAGTATCAATAGGGGTTATATGTTTCTTTCTTTTTTTTTATGTGTTTCTTTAATGTCA